TCCCATCTAAAGACGATGGACTCTCTCCAACATCCTTTGTTAGTTGATCATTGATATTCACCAGCTCCATAATTGCTTCCTCCACTTCTTGCAATTGTTCTTTCACTTCTTCGTATTCAAGACCATATGCCTTTTGGCTTCTCTTGTTCATCTCAACTTTCTTTTTCAGCTCCCTGACAGTTGTTTGGAGACTTGTCAACTTTTGCCCATCAGAAGCAAGTCTTTCCAGAACCTTTCTGCCTTTTGCTCCTTGCCTTGGCTGCTTATTGCTTGTAGATACCTCTACCTTGTCAATCCCCAGCTCCTTCTCAACCTGTAATCCTGAATAAGGATCAATAATCTTCTTCTCAGCATCTTTGTAACGATGACGACGTGAAGGGACTTTCTCTGCTGATACAGGTGCCTGCTTTAGCATGTCATTGACTGTTAAATTAATGCTGCTGTCTTGCTCTGCAGACTCCCACAACTCAAGCATTTGCTCATTAGATCTGCTATTTGTTCTCTTCCTTCTGCCATAGGGTGAGCAGTCTGAGACTTGATCAAGAGGAATATCTTTTGTTAACATCCCATTCCTGAATTCAGAAATTTCAAGTTTCGTCTTCTTTGACTTGAGATTTCCGCCAACCTTGTCATTAACTTTCATTTTTTCCTTCTTTACATCTTCTTTGTATGAAGCACTTCTTGATTTTAACACAGGCTCACTTGTGGGAGAGTCCAATTTCATGTGGTTGTTGTTACTTTCTTGCTGTGCAAGCTTGTCCATCTCTTCCACCAATGCCTTTTCAACAGCTTCAAGCCTAGATTGTACTGCCTGCAAGTCAGAAATTCCAATTGGCACAACAGTACTTTCATGTTCCTCGAGTTCTTTGGATCTCATATCGTGGATTTCATCAGTCCTTGCTCCATCCTGGTAAGAAGAAAAAAAAAAAATTAGAAATTGTTAATATGCACCATATTGCTAGTCATGCTTGCTTTACTATGGAATGTACTCAGTGCTTTTTCCTCAGCATTTTTGGAGGGGAAAAGAGGAACAACCGTAAGTCTTAAAATTTATGACTAAGCGGATAATTGGAAATCATAAATGGAGGAAGAAATTATCTGATCAGGATAGCCAGAAAAAGTTAACTAATCAGAAAAAAATAGGAGATATATGTATACTCAATCACAATTGGAAAGTTCATGCTGAGACTAAGGAAGTTGGAACCATTTATATCAAACCAGTTTGAGAGGAAGAATTATTAAATTTCGTTTAGCTCAGACCAGAGAAAGGAATATTACCTTTTCTGTTTTATTTCCTGCGATAAAAAGCCTTTTTTGAAGATGGACATTATGCTCAATAGATCCTATATTTTCCTTAAGCAAAGCTATGACAGGAACATAGGCAGACAACTGAGCCTTCAATCCTCCAACCTCACTTTCCAGAAAGTGGACCCTTTCCTTCATTTGTCCTATCTCCGCACTCTTTGCCACAGTTTCATCTTCAAGGGTTTTACAAACTCCAGTAAGCTCATGTACCTTATTTTCAAGCAGAACTTCACATATAGCAGAAGCTTGAAAATCAAAATAGAATGATGCAGCCTCAACCTCCCAGAGTTCAACCTCAGTGCTTTTTCCTTGCAGCTCCAAGTTCAGGTTCTCTTCTCTAATCCTTTGGTCCTCCAGTTTCCTGCATAATAAACCAGCTTCTGATCCCAAATCTTCATTTACTTCAAGAAGACACTCTATTTCTCTTTTCTGTTCACAGCTATCTTTTGACTGTTGAAGAATTTGTTCCTCTAGATTTTTTCTTATCAGTTTAGATTCTTCACATTCTGTCTTTAGTCTCTCAAGAGCTCTGCAGTATTCTGCATTCAAATTATCTGCAGCCTTAAGCTTCTGTTCTGCTTCTAACAGCTCCATGGATTTTTGTTTCAGAAAACCCTTTCCCAAAACAATTTCATAGTTTAATTGGTCATTTAAGTCTTTGGCTGCATGCAGCTCCTTCTGCAAATTTGCAATGATTTCATTCAGCTGTAGGTTTTCTGCTTCTTTCTTCTCCAACTTCTCCCCCAATCGCTCAACCTTCTCTTTGAGGTCACTATTAAACAAATCGAGACTACTGAGTTCTTCAGAAAGAGCTTTAATTTTGTTCTCTTTCTCAGCAGAAAAGCTCTCACAAACCAAAGACCGGCTACTGAGGGCCACTACTTCCTCCAGGACAGCAATGTTTTCCTCCTCAAGATTATCCATTTCCTCCTTCAGGTCCATAAACTTCTTGAGCAAAAGTGTGTTTTCCTCAAGCTGCTTGGAGTTTTGTTCTTGTAATGCCAGAAAAGATCCCTGCATATTTACCAGCTGCTTGCATTGAGTTTCCAGTTCAGCATTTAACACTTCCTCCTGTAGCTTTCCCTCACTCATTTCAAACATTAATTCTTGATTCATCTCCAGGAGCTCATGCTTTTCTTTTTGCAGCACAGCATTCTTCTCTTTCATGATCATAAAATCCTGTCTGAGATCACTCCTTGCTGACTCAAGTTCTGTACTCTCTAATTTCAGTTGTGCAAGAAAAGTGAGAAGCACTGAGTTCTCAACTAACAGCTGCTGATTCTCTTCCTTGTTTCTAGCCAGTGAACACCGTAGGTTTTCTACATTATCCAGAATATGAGGAAGAAGAATTTGAACTGGTTCAATCAAATCTTGCTGCCCCATAACTGGATCACATTGAAGAGACCTGTATACTTGATAAATCCCTACCCTTAACCTTGCAATTTCATCCAACAAGAACTCAGCTTCTATTTGCTGCTCAAGATTTTCACTCTCCAACTCTCTAATGAGTTTCTCTGACAATTTGGATGTATCAACATGTTTCTGACATTCAATCAACAGAGACAAGTTCTTTTCTTCTAAATCTTTTATAAATTTCTGCAAGATGAAGCTCTCAACCTGAGCATTTATAGCTTTATCCAATTCCTCTTCATATTCCCTCTTCCTTGACTTGCTTTCTTCCTGAAGCAGGTTGACATGATTTTCCAGAAATGCTAACCGAGATTCACTTGACTGCACATAACATGCACGCTCTTGTTGTTCCAGACTGAGGGAACCCCGCAGCTCTTCTACTTTAGAAAGTGTTGATTCTTTCTCTTTCTCCATGTCAAGATATTTTTCC